TCATGACCTGAGCTGAAGGCAGACGTTTAACCGACTGAGCCACCCGGGTGCCCCTGGACTGGTGTTGGACCAAACAGCTGGGCACCATAGCCTAGCCATGTTGACCCATGAAATGAGCCATCATGCACCTCTGGCATGATCTTTCAGCTGGAGCTTTTGTGATATCCTTCTAGCTTATCTTCCAGCCTCCTGTGTCCATCTTCCACTTCTTTTCTACCCTCATACTGCCATAGGACTTTAGAAGGACGGACGCTGGCATGGGCAAATTTGATTCTAAGCAGCATAAGTAATAATAATAGTCACTGTGCTAATATATTTTTTAGTGTTCCCCAAAATACAGTTACGATAAAATTTAAAGTTCTCTGCCACCCGAACCCCTCTAACTTCCAGCCTCATCTTTCCTGTCACAGTCAGACGTACATACGCTCTAGCTACCCTCAGAGGTACTTTTAGTTCTTCATATACACTGGTAATTTCCCATTACTCTGGCTTTGCTTTATGAGATAGAATCAAGACTAATACAAGGCAAAGTATAAGATGATAGGAATAAGGAGGGGGCTATAGGAGAGCACAAGTCGATACGAATAGTTCAAGCTTTGGAGACCTGAAAAAACTTTCATTAAGGTGGGGAGAGAGGAAAGGGTGAGCTAGATAGTGTGATGGGCTGAATTGCGCCTCCCCTCCCCGCATTCATATGTTGAGGTCTGAACTCCTGCCACATCAAGATGTGACCATATTTGGAGACAGGATCTTTACATAGAGGTAATTAGGCTAAAATGAGGTGGTTCAGGTGGGCCCTCATCCAGTATGACTGGTGTCTTTATATAAGAAGAAGAAATTTGGACACAGACACACACAGGGGAAAGATGATGTGAGGTCAGAGGGAGAAGGTAGCCATCTACAAGACGAAGAAAGAGCCCTCGGAAGAAACCAAGCTTGCTGACACTTTGCTCTTGGACTTTCAGCCTCCAGAACTTCAAGAAGATACATTTCTGTTGTTTGCACCACCCAGTCTGTGGGGCTTTGTTATGGTGGCCCTAGCACACTAATGCAGGTGGAGTGAGGAAGGGCTCGGGGAGCACAGAGTGAGCTGAAGCAGAGAGGCCGCGGAAATGTGGAGCGTTATGTTAGTGGGTCATGCAGTGAAGTTACTACTGCTGGGTTATAGCTGATTTCCAGAATGTGTTGGAAATTTGCCTGGTCCTTGAATTAACCACGTTCTAAAGGTATGGAAAGAGGATGTCTAATGATGTTTGGTCTTAAAGTGAGAGCAAGAGCCTCCAAGCGAAGAGGGCTTCCAGTAAGTACCAGAACAGGATTGTGTTTCCCAGTCTTGGGTCCCATGTTGATTGTGAGGGAAAAATCTCTTCTGCCGCTGACCCGCTAAGACCCAGGTGGTAGAATGAGCAACAGGTGGTAGAGGTTCTCTGGTTAGTTCATTCTGTGTTATGTGCTAGTCACACAAGAGTCTTAGCGATCTTCCAATTACCCGTTTTTAGCTTGGGTTGGCTGAGGTGCCAACATTTCCCTTTTTTTAGAGCACTTTTAGATTTCTAGAAGATTGTGGAGATAGTCCAGGAAGTTCCCATATAACCCATACCTAGTTTCCCTGTTATTAACATCTTACCTAGCATGTTATGTTTGTTAGAATTAGTGGACCGAAATCTGTACTTCATGAAGTCTGAATTTTATTCAGTTTCCTTAGTTTTAAATTAACTTCTTTTCTGTGTTGTAAGAGCTCACCTATGATATTATGTTACATTTAGTTCTTATGTCTCCTTAGGCCCCTTTTGTCACTGACATTTTCTTAGGCTTTCTTGGTTTCTGTTGACCTTGACAGTTCTGAGGAGTACCGGTCAGGTATTTTGTAGACTGTCCCTCTACTGAGATCCCTGTGATGTTTTCTTCATGATTAGACTGGGGTTATAGGTTCCTGGGGGGAAGACCACGGGGGTCACATGTCATTTTCAGCACATCCTGTCCAGGGTGCATGCTGTCAACACGACTGATGACTGTGGATGCTGACCTTGGTCCCCTGGTCCAGGTAGCATTTGTCCCGTTTCTTCACTGTAAACTCACTCTCTGAAACAAAGTCACCTTGTGCAGCATCCACTTACGGTGTGGGGCGGCGTGGGGACCCTCAATTTTTAAAACACAAAAAGACCGTGAAGCAGGTGTTGAAGATCACGTGTGAGTACATGATGTTGCTGAGTTATAAGGAGTGGCAAGGCGAAACACAAAAAGAAACCAGCCTTTTTTTTTTTTTTGGCTTGTTTTGTTTCAGAAAAAATACTCTGTAACGTTGCTATGAGAAGTGAGAAAAAAATGTTCATTTGAACTCTGTGATTTGCCGAATAAAAACAGCTTTCAACCTTGGGCCTTCTTTATTTAATTAAGGCAGCGGGTTCTTATCTGTACACTGTACACTTATTTGTACCACTGGGACTCCAGCTATTGTTGGAGCCAGAAGAGGAAAGATTAAAATTGGTCTGTCTTTCATTATTAATTGAAACGTTATAGAGCATTGTTTTCTCAAAGGCAGTGCCTTGACAGTTGCATTTACTGGGCAGTCGTGGTCCATGTTGGTTTTTCATGGTCTGTCCTAGCTTGGCCTTGAATGTGGTCTTTTTCTCGGTTCCCGTTTCTATTATAGGCAGAGGACTTCATTACCTCCCTCTAGCGGTCAGCTTTATAATCTTGAATTCTAGTTAGGACAAACTCAGCAGGTAGAAAAAGCAAATCGGTGACTATTCCCGTGATGATTTGCCTTCACATTTTAATATGGATGCTAAAATGACATCGTGATTGAATTTTAGCTCTGTCCTTTTGGATCAGAACTGATTTTTAAACGAGACAGTGTTTTAACATGGTAAGTAATTATAACTTGATTAAAAGCAATAATGATGAAGATAGCATTCTAGGCAGAAGGTTTACCTAGCTACTGTTTTACTAAGAACCTCAGTGGGCATTTGATTTAAACCGGGGAATTGAATTTGGCTTCTTGCAAGTGTTTTATCAGTGGTGTAAGAGCAAGTACATGTTCTAGATAAACTTGAAAGCTACAAAGCTTTATGAAACCAGGAGTGCGGGAGTCCTCTAGAGCAATGTCTGTCATTCCTTCACAGATAAAATTTTATCTCCGGTGCAGGAAATGGCCTTCTTTTAGAGCTCTACATCAACATTCATTATATTACCATGACTTTAAGAAGATGCAGCATTACAGGGTGCTATCTCTGTATATCCTTAGAGAGTTGAAATAATTTACCAGAATTTGAGGCTGGCTTTGTCTTATTTTTGATGGAAATACCAGGTGACACAGTATGTGATTTTGCAGGTACTGATACCTGGAATGAGTGCTGGTGTTTGTGCCCAGACCCGAAGTTTTGTCCTCTTGAGAACCAGAGGGGATGGCATTTAAGGAAAAGCAACTAAATCAATGTGCAGTCTGCCAGTGTCCTTAGATGTGCTCCTGATTAGCACTAAAGTGGAACTCAAGAGGCCGCGACCCACTGAGCGTTGCCTCTGTTCAGAAATAAGAAGAAAGGAACTCCTACAGAGAACCTCGATTAAAGAAGTGGTCTGTGTGTGCCTATTTGGGATACTTTTGTTGCATGTGGTACCATAGAGATGTAACAGATAACAAGGAGAAGTTGGTCTGTCTTTGTGGTTCTCACTAGAAATGCGTTACTAACGAGGCGACTTGTCTGTTGTTTACCCAGCTCCATCTGATCCACTGGAACTCCACCCTGTTTGGCAGTATTGATGAGGCCGTGGGGAAGCCACATGGCATTACCATCATTGCTTTGTTTGTTCAGGTAAATCATCCCCTGTCGTGACTGTTCTGTTGTTCAGGGATGCTTATTTCTGATTCCTTTGCAGAATATTTTGTGTGCTCTCTCAATTTTATTACTTTTTTCAAACTCCCGTGCAGAGAACGCAGGTAATTTGAAAAGAGAACACTTGATTTTTCTGGCTCGTAAGAGGGCAGTCATAGTCATTGGTAGAAGATGGTTCATTTAGTCAGTAGACATTTTCTTCCAGCTGGCCTTCAGGGTCTTTGGAGAAATGATGTCAAAGATGTCCTGAAGGCAAAGTTCATTTTATTAATGAAAAAGGATTCTAGAAAATGTTTTTGGACCCTGGCTTGCTGTGAAATCGAAGAAAAATCGATGATGTAATCATATAGTAGACTCTTTTAGCTCTTTGTTATTAATAATTTTCAGTCCAAGATGATTTGAAGTGTCCAATAGAAAAACACTGATGAAATAAGACTGGCGAAGATCTTGGTGGATACAGTCAATATAAAGTTTAGATTTGAGCTCGTGGTGGGCACAGGATAGTAATTAAATTAATTTTCAGACTACCTACTTTCAAAAGTAAAAATTTAATCTAGTTCTCCCCTGTGGATCTTTTAACTTTGTCTCGTCATCTGTTGGATGTCCTAAAAGATTAAGAGGTAGAAGAGACTCTGCTCTCTCCTTCCCCATCCTACAGAAGAGAAACCAAGGGCCAGAGAGGTCAGTCACTGGTCACAGACACACACAGATTTGGTGTCACCGTCAAGACCAGAAACCACTGCTGTAATTGTAGTTCTGCATGGTTCTCGGCTGCCTCTTGGAGAACGTGGTACCTGAGCGTCACATTAGCCCAGTGATCGTTAGTAACTTAATTTTCCGAAGACAGCGGGGCCTTCACAAACCTGCCTTTTTTGTGTTGTATATATTTCAATAGTATTATTAAGCACAACAGTTTTCCATTATAAATTTCTGTCTCAGGTATTTGTCTGTTGATGTTTGGAAGCAGCCATCTGGCTTTAGCCTTTTAATATTTTAAGATCAGTATCTTGAAAGTATGACACATGTCATAGAATTTAAAAGCAAATTCTTACAGTTTTAAATGAACCTTCTTACTGTTTACTTCATGGTTTTTTGTTTTTGTTTTTTTTTAACAGGCAGGGCCCTGTATTTCTTCTATTTTATAACTGCATTGTATAAGTAGAATAAAATTATGGTATCAAGGTATCGGTAAAAATGTTTTGATAATCTCTAATGTACTAAAGTAGTAACTATTGAAATGCATTTTTGTAACCTGAAAAAGTTAATAAAGCACCCAAATTTGAGAAGTTGAGGCAATAGAAGTAGAAGGCAGTGTCTTGTTATTAAAAAATAAGAATGAAATAAAATAATACAAATACCTGAGCAGTCATTTCTAGAAGGGAAGTAAGCATGTTTGTTTCATCTCTGGAGTTGGTATTCAACAAATATTTGTGAATGGAGTTAAATATGAGAATATTTTCACTTAACTGATCCTTAGCATAGGACAGGTGGTGTGGACTAATAGAGCACTAGGCTGAAAGCCAGGACTCTGGGAACCAGCATCAGTATTCCAGGAAGAAGCTCATTGTTGTAGGCCTGGGGAAGCTTGCGAGTATGCGCACTGGTTCTAACTTTCCCTGAGTTTGCTGTAAGGAGAGATTCTGGTTATCTAGGAGAGAGTAAAGTTACAGAAAGACTGAGAAGAATTTCATGAAGGAAAGAAGGACTGATGAGGAGTGTCCACCGAAGCAAAGAGGAGAGGGACTGAAGTCCATCTGGGGCTCTCACACTTCGGCAGGAGGAGTGGGAAAATGGGAGGGGGTCAGCATAGGCAGTGAGCGTAGGCTTCCCTTTCAAGCAGCGTGGCTCAAGAAAAGAAAGACAGATGGGGTAATAACTCATGCTGATGTATAGGAATGTTCTGTTTGTTTCATTTCAAGATCTGCGATCTGCCTGTATTTTTATTCTGAGCAAAAAGCACTAGTGCAGATGCAGAGTTTAAAAATACTGGCAAAAAAAGGGATACTTGATGTATAAGAGGAGGAGACAAGAGGATGCAGGATGGAGAGCTTTTGTGACTAGACTAACCTCAGAGACCAGGGGGCACCCACCCTTTCTCCAAAACAGAGGGTCAGGAAGAAAGAGTGGGTAGAAATGGGATGGATTTAAAGGTGAAGAAAGACAGGAAGTTAGAGGAGCTCATGCCTGATGACCTTCATTATCTCTGAGACATACCAAGCAGAATTATTTCTAGAGCAAGGGAAGCATGGGTGTGGGATTGGGTTTTGAAATAGCCCAGGAGGGGAATGATAATAGACTTGACAGTCAGTGTGGGAGACCCACTTATGACTGAACATCATAGATGGTGCAGGACAAGATCTTGTGGATTGTTCTCTATCCAAGTAGAAGAGTAGGAAATTCTTGCAAATTGTTGCATTGATCTCTTTGCAGAGCAGATGATTTGGGGGGGACACAGGGATTAGAGAATTGAGGATGGTTGGAGAGGTGTCATTCAGTAGGTAGGAGGGGAAAGAGACAAAGCCAAGAGGCTCCTCGGAGCCGTGGCTCCTCAGATCAGTGAATGGCAAGAGAGAGAAGAGAGGGTAAGAGCTGCATGGATGAGGGGGCGCCTGGGTGGCTTAGTCGTTAAGCGTCTGCCTTCGGCTCAGGTCATGATCCCAGGGTCCTGGGATCAAGCCCTACATCGGGCTCTCTGCTCTGTAGGAAGCCTGCTTCTCCCTCTCCCACTTCCCCCTGCTTGTGTTCCCTCTCTTGCTGTCTCTCTCTCTCTGTCAAATAAATAAATAAAATCTTTAAAAAAAAAAAAAAAGCTGCATGGATGAGAAGCTGGGGTCAGAGGGAATGGTTTTCGGAGTTGAAGTTTTTGGAGTGAAAACAAATTCAGGGAATGTTCTCAGGATGGGTGCTGAGGTGGAAGGGGGCTGATAGCCATGGGCTGAGGGGTGAAGACGCATTCCAGGGAGTTGGAAGTCCTCCGTAGTGGCAGCAGGAGGTGATGATGACAGGGGAGTGACCAGTGGGTCGTTTTTTAAAAAACTTGGCGCCAGTTGAACTTCGCCACAAGTAGAGCATGGTAGTATCTGAGGAGGATGGTCCACTCGGAGGACGGCCTTGTGCCTGTGGGTCAGAGTATGCATCGGAGGGTACCCTCAGGGCACTGACCACAGCTTTCAGCCCTGTCTCTGGGGGAGACTGCACAGCGTCCACTCGGAAGGCCCGGGAGAGCTGGGCCTTGAGCAGCCCTGAGAGGTTCACACAGACCAGCAGGTGGTGGCACCCTGTTGCAGAGGGCACAACGGAAATGAGGTGAGGTTCGAGTGAGAAATGGAAAAGCACAGGGCCAGGGCTGGGCAGGGCTGACGGGTTGCCTTTTGGATGGTGAGCGGTAAGGAGGTAATGGGTCTCGTGGTTCTTGGCAGACTCCTGGTACCAGGCTGTGTTGTCACCTGGACTGCTCTAGGATTTGGGGGACTCAGCTGTGCAGAGTAGCGTCTATACTTGCTGTTTGGTGGTTATCACCTCTTCCTACAGAGATCTGGCAAAGAAGGAAAGGGAAGAGATGGAGTAATAGCCGGAGTTTGTTGCAGATTTAAAACTCTTGCCCATAAAGTGCGGAATCTTTATGGAAGAAGGAGCCCGTGAGAGTTAAGTGCTAATATATGTAAAAACTGTATTTGATGCTGTTTGGGCATTCTGAGTAAGGGTAATAATGGGTGATATTAATTGAATGAGGACGGTCCATGTCCTCTTCTGCGGTTAAACCAGTACAGCGAAGGGAGGTCGGTTGCCCCGAAGATCGGGCCCAGGCTTCTGCACTTAACGCGTGCACTTGCCTGAAGTATTATTTTCTTAACTTTAGAGAATTCATTTTGCATCTTTAAAGCCTGTCTGAGGAATGGCAGACACTTGGGAAATAGTTGAAGTCTTGACTCTTTTGAACCGATTGGCCTGTCTTAGATTATGTAAGTGTCTTGTCTCTTTTCTTTGCTCTCTGATGCCCTTTCACCTGGCATATTTGTCACGTGGTACACATGGCGAGAAACCGGGAATGTGGAGATGTTGACAGCTTTCCTAACTCCTGTAGGTCATCCTGCACAAATTTGTGCGGAAGAGAAAAAGCAAATGATAACATTGTTTAGCTCAGATTTTAAATTACCTCCTGTCGTTACTGTCCTCCATTATCATGGACCGTTGAAACCTGGTTGAAAAGTGGAAATCAGATGGCGTTTATAATTTTTAAAGTTAAAGTCAAGAATACTTAATGTCAAATTTCTTTTGAAACCTCACATTCTTTGGAGCATTTTTTACACTAAAAATGTGTAATGATATATAATGTTTTAAAGTAGAAATCTGTGAACAGCATATTCTGATGTGTGTAAGAATAAAATGGTGATTATATGATTATGTCCAATCTTTTTAAAAAAGGTTTTATTTATTTATTTGAGAGAGAGTGAGCACGAGTGGGGGCGGTGGGGAGAGGGGCAGAGGGAGAGGGAAAAGCAGGCTCCCCGCTGAGCAGGGAGCCCGATGCAGCAGGGCTCGATCCCAGGACCCTGGGACCATGACCCGAGCCGAAGGCAGACACTTAACTGACTGAGCCACCCAGGCGTCCCCAGCATAGGTACAATCTTTATAACAATGATCTAGAATGCCAGAGGCAAAAATGAAAGGGTTTGGAATGTGATGAGCAATTTTAATTCAGAAATATCCTTGAAATGTTTACATTGCAGTATTCTATCATTTGATATACAGTTGGCCCTTGAACAAACATGACTTTGAGCTGCATGGGTCCACTTAAACATGGATTTTTTACAGTACTGTAAATGTATTTTCTCCTTCTTATGATTTTCCTTATAACATTTTCTTTTCTCTAGCTTACTTTATTGTGAGAATAGAGCATATAATGCATGTCACATTCAAAATACATGTTAATTGACTATTGTTATCAGTAAGGCTTCTGGTCAACAGTAGGCTATTAGTAGTTTAGTTTTTGGGGGAGTCAAACATTATACGCGATTTTCAACAGCACGGGGGTCAGTGTTCAGGGGTCGACTGCAGATAGCACAGTTGGTGATAATATGTACACAGCAAGATGAATTTAGAATGAATTCTTTAAAATGTCTAAGAGCTAAGTTTTTTTGTTTTTTTTTTTTTAAGATTTTATTTATTTGACAGAGACACAGCGAGAGAGGGAACACAAGCAGGGGGAGTGGTAGAGGGAGAAACAGGCTCCCCGCTGAGCAGGGAGCCCAATGCGGGGCTCGATCCCAGGACCCTGGGATCATGACCTGAGCCGAAGGCAGATGCTTAACTGACTGAGCCACCCAGGCGCCCCAAGAACTAATACTTTCTTGTGCTAGCCTCTCTTACAATTTCAATTTCTCTATGTAGGTGCTGACCTGGTTATTAATGAAAAGGTATTTTATTTATTCCCTGAGAAGGAAATTCAGGTAGACTTGAGCTTCACTTTCTGTTAGTTCTTTTGGATGAAAGCAAAGTATTTAAAGATGGTTGTGGTATGGTTTATGCTTTATGTATTGCAGATAGGAAAAGAGCACGTAGGCTTGAAGGCTGTGACTGAAATCCTCCAGGATATCCAGTACAAGGTAAGTTTTTATTTAAAAGAAAATAAAAATACTGGTTATGAAAGCAGACCCCAAGACCACTCTCAGATTTGATGATTCACTCCACGGAGACTCATAGAGTAGCTGTTACTCTCATGGTTGTGGTTTATGACAGAGGAAGGCTACAGATCAAAAACAAGGACAGTGCAAACGTTCGTGGGGCCAAGTCCGGGAGAAACCAGGCACAAGCTTCCAGCTGCACCCTCCCAGTGGAATCACGTGGGGATGAACCTAAATCTTTCGGCAGTGATGTGCCACAATGCATGTGAAGTGTGGCCAACCAGGGAAGCCTAGCTGAGCCTTTGTGTATAGGGATTTTATGAGGGGTCAGTTATGTGAGCATGCAGTGTCTGTGTAACTGACCTCCGCTACCCTGCCTCCATCCTTTCCGCCCCCAGCCCCAGCCAAACCAAGCCTTCATCACAAATCACATTGTCGTCGGGGTAAACTCTACGGGTCCAACTGGTATAGCATGGCCCGAGGCCTCAGGCATACAAAAACACTCTTACCAGGCAGAATATCCCAAGACCTCAGAGCCAATCAAGGCCAGTCCTCAAGACAGGCAGCTTTTTGAGCACCCCAGGCCTGTTGAGTTAACCCCTTCCGCCCATTGGTTATAGGAAAGTTGTGTAAATGAAGCAAAAATTAGGCGACTATACTTCAAAGCATTTATGTTAAAAAAAGAAAAAAGGCAAGTACGTGTAAGCTGTAAGATCACATATCTCAGAGAAGGTGATTTAGTTTGATACGACTCTGTAGTGATTCAGCCCACCTTTGCTGGGAAGCCAAGTTCTGTTGAAACCAGTACCTTTTACGCTCACATTGAATCGATTGAATCTGAGTGGCCTTGGAGGGCAGTAGTTTAATCCTGGATGGCTACTGCAGATACAGCACAGAGATTCAAAGACCCAAGGCCGATCCAAAAATCAATCTGGGAATGAAGTCTGATTAGCTCTAGGCCAGTGCAAACCCAGGGCATCTTGGACTGGGCAAAAACATCTACCATAGATTTCCTGAGCAGGCTTAGAATGAATCCAGCTACCAAGGGAAAGCACAGACTAGTCAAAAAGCTGGTAAGAAGAGGGAAGGACATATTTTGACTGACATTTGTCCAATAGAAATGGGTTGAGAAATTTTCTTTTATTGCTTCAGCTCATACAACATCCGTCTTTATGGAATACAGGGGGCTGGTGGGAAGCAGGTAAGCTGGATTCTTTAATGTGTCAAATAGTTCTTAGAAGTAAGGAAGAGACTAAGAGGTTACACATTAACTTGCCCTGTTATGTCTGCATTGACAGAGTCATCTTACAAGAGACCTCCAACTACTGCGACAGGTCTGTTTGCCTCTAGGGCCTGAGCAATTTAAGTGGCACTATTTAAAATAGTGATTGCAAATGTGACTGTTGAACAATGGCACAAATATTTTAGTGAAATTCTTTATTTTAATTTTATTGAAATTTATTTATTTATATATTTTTAAAAGATTTTATTTATTTATCTGAGAGAGAGAATGGGAGACAGAGAGCATGAGAGCGGGAGGGTCAGAGGGAGAAGCAGACCCCCCACCGAGCAGGGAGCCCGAT